GATAAACTGATATTAACTATAGTAACTAGGTGGCCTGATGTAGTGCAGTAGGTTAAACATTTGTTTTAGTTATGAAACCATTCTAAAAAATAAATTGTTAAACATAAGCCAAACATGTAAAACAGGTAAAATACATCTGCTTCTGGTTGAGATAGGGATGGGGGCTGGAGCCCTTCCCATTTGGTACACCCATTTTCTCCTGCCCCAGAATACCCAGTTTGAAAACCACCAGTGCAGAAAAAAGAGGATGTATGGACTTTTGATTAAGATAGCCCCATACTCACTCGCAGTGTGACCTTGGGCAAAGTTGCTTAATTTATCAGAGCCACAGTTTTCCTCATCTGTAAAATGGGGGTAATAATAACTACCTCATAGGGTTGTTACAAAGCTCTAGCCCTGGCAGAAATAGGGCCTCCTTATTTTCTTACCCTCCATAAATTCTAATCCTAAATCATCATTATCTCATTGGAATCGTTTAAAAATGTGAATGTTTCAAATGCTGCACGCTCCCAAGAATATATGCTTTTCTGTTAAATAGACTCTCAGGATGATGTGAATGGGCATTGTACCCTGATGGATCTAGTGGGCTCTCCCATAATGGAATTGACAAGAATTGAACAAGATTGTTAAAGGCATTCATGCATGTTTCCACCTCTGCAAAATTACTTTCAGATTTATCCATTTATTAGCATTAGGGTAAGGTGGCAAGCTTCTAAAAAGAAATGCCCTTCTACTTTTACCTAGATGTTTAAGTTAAGTGTTTAGAACTAGTGTGTATACTGTATACTGAAGTTTTAGAATTTATGGAGAGGAAGGAAACTAATGAGGCCTTACTTCTGCCAGTGCAAAGAATGCTTATAGTCTTAGAAGGCAGAATAAATTTGTCAATGGAAGATAGTTACTAAAATTTAAGTGACTTGGGCCGGCCCCATGGCTTAGCGGTTAAGTGCACGCGCTCCGCTGCTGGCGGCCCGGGTTCGGATCCCGGGCGCGCACCGATGCACCGCTTCTCCAGCCATGCTGAGGCCGTGTCCCACATACAG